TTTTTTTTTTTTTTTTTTTTTTTGAAATTGGAGAGAGAGCTCAAAACATTAGATGTTTGCATAAAGTCAGCATGATATGGTTAACCGCATTGTGGTTCCGTAGGATCCAGTTCTTTTATCTTCAACACAGTAGTCTGGTGAGTTGTTCAAATATACCTAAACGATATTTCATTCTGTCTTTCAAGCATTTTTTTTGTCAATTTAAGTTACTTTTTTTTTTTCCGCTTAAGTGCTACTGTATTGAACGAAGAAAATGACAACTCGATTGTCATAATGATAACTGCCTGGAAATTGGTAAGTTTGGTAAAAAAACTGGGAATTTTTGTTTGAACTTTGCGTCAGAATATCAAGAATTAAGACTAACTAGTCGTTGGTTTGAAAAATTATCCTCATTAGCCCATTCATTGTAATTGGTCGCTTCGCTATATCGCTCTTTTAGTCTGAAAGTTGGCACTTAACTGGTGAACAATTGAGGTGGTACGGTGAGATCAGGATGAAACTTGTGTCTTTATCCTAGCTGATAGAACAATCACATTGCCAAAAGTTTTTTCTTTTATAGATAATATCTGCTTCAACCATAGTTCATCGTTTTCTATGTTGAATAGCAATATTTTATTGTTGCATACTTAAATGCAATTTCTGTAATATCGGGCAAAGTATTCCAACAAGTTTGAACGTTGCAGCTGCTGGAAACTCCATGACATTTGCATTTGCGATACAGGCTTTCTTCTGTTACCTAAAAATAAAAAAGAAAACTGATCAGCAGAAGGAAAAATTATTACGGACTACAACAGTTACTGTTTTTAGTTTTGCCCATTTTTCATATGTATTGTCGGCAAATTGGTGATTAGCTTTCAGATGCGCCAGTTATATCTGACGAAACAAAGCCGCGATTAAAATTATACGTCATTTAGGTGACTTAGGTTAACGATGCAGGTTAATTGCTGCTGACCATTGTACGCAGTTTACGGTAATTAATATGTATTCTTGTTGATGTCAAAATCAACGTTTACCTAATACTGACCGGTCAAACAAGGTGGTCAGTGAAAACAGCAACAACAGCAACAACAAGATAATTCTCCCAAAGAAAAATGTGCATGGAAATACCTGACGTCCAAGATCGTTGTTCTGCTGATTCATCACTATTCGAGTGGGCATCCCTGACTCGTGCCACTGCCTAATATAGTTTCCTTTTGGTGCATAGTCCTCTTTCATTGCATACTGCAACATGGATCTGTTGATCGTTCTTAGTTATAAACTGTTTTTGCAATATTACTCCCTATGGACTTAGTGAAAATCTGCAAACTGTTGGGGGCAGTCACAAGTCCTATGTGTTATACCCGATGAGTTCGCCTTGTAGTTGTTCGATTCCGTCCACTTTTTGTTTTTTTCCTCCACGGTGCATCTGCCCATTCACGACTAATTTTTTGTCCATATAAAATATTGTCGCTGCATCCTTTCCACTAAAAACCAATAGTCAAGGGTTTAGAGTTACTACCAATTTGCTGAGTATTGAACTGAAAGTCAAAAATCATGATGTTAAAGGAAAAACATCTTGTTGCTTTTTGTTCTAGATAAAAACACGGAATTTTTATTTCAATTGGGTTTGCAATTTGTTAAATAAAAGAATAAAGATTGTATTTTTTGGAAAGATGGACTTATGGACCACGAATATTCGTCAATATTTCAACCAGTTATGAGAAAGATAAAAATAGAACATTATCAAACTTGTCCTTCAAAAAATAATTATGGCTGATAAAAGGCAAAAATAAATAAATTTTAGTATTATTTATCATATTTGTTGCTTTGATACAATTAAGAATCTCTTAAAATTATTTAAGGTTTAAAAAACTATATACTTTTCAGTTTGCTAGCAATGTTTGTGGTAAAGTTAACAAAGACTGCAACAAAAAAGTGCAATAACGTCTGCCAGGTCACCTTATAAGTGGTATCTGTCGAGACAGTTGGAGAGTTCAAGCCACAAGGACAATACGGTAGCTTACCGTCTGAACAACCTTTAGCAACTTGATGGGCAACTGCTGCTGCTGATAATGCATATACAAAAGCTTGTTCTTTTGTGCCTACAAAAAATTCATTTACACTGTCTCCTGTATTTTACCGGTAAGCCTGAAGTTTACTGCGGTTTTAATCCTTTGCTTTTTACGGTTAATTGCCAAAAATTATCCTTTTAATTCTATTAAATATACTAAGTCTATTTAGATTAGAATGTAGGTAGAATTACAGAGTTACCTTTGGTAAGATCATGTTTATAATTTGGTGCTAGTAAAATTGACGAACAATTCCATCGTCGATCAGCAAAAACTTTTTGACATACACTGACAACAGATTGCGCTGAATCGATGATTATTGGCATTAAGTCTGTCGATTTTCTGCACATTCGAGCCTGCTCAATAAATAAAACTATTAAGTATACACTTTTTTTTCTTCTTCTTTTTCTTCCTCTTCTTCTTCCCATCTTCTTCGCACAGTACCATCGTAAAATCAAAAATTTTTTTTTGATTTATTTTAACGGTACACCAATAACTTACACTACTTTTTGAAAACAATTATAACGAATCCAAATACGAGCTTATTAACTGAATAAACTACGCGACAGGATGATTAAATAAATAGAATACTAAAAAAAG